TGTAGCCACTCTAGATCTAGATCTAGATCTAGATCTAGATTATAGATCTAGATTAGAATCTAGATCTAGATCTAGATATAGATAATAATCTAGGTTCTAGATATCTAGATCTAGATTCATTTTAGGAGCTCAAAAAGCCAGCTTCATTGTGTTCATTGTCTCAAACACCAGTAGATCTAGATCTAGATTCTAGATCTAATAGCATGACATGAGTGAGACAGTCATTGTTATTTATGTTTATACAATATATATACAAATTGTCAATACTGCTCGAAGGAATTTTATTGATTAAATGAGCGTGAGAAGGTCCTGTCACCTGTGATTCACTTACCAACTTCTCCTGGAACACTCTTCTTCATGCCAAAGGCATCCCCTTCGAAAACGCTGCCATCCTCCAAGAGAAGGCATGCACGCACTTTTTCCTGTGCCATGATTGAAACTTTCGTTTAACAACACTGGGGTTTTGTTTTGATCTTGTCTGTTTTAAATGGTTCCAAGAAAACAGGACAGCGTGCAGCAGTACTCAGTACTCACCGCCACAGTCAGTCAGTAGTTGATCCTACTTTTTAGATAGATTCTACTTGTTGCGAACACTTGCCTAACTGTAATCCGGATAATTCTCAAATATCCATTATCCGGATCCAGTAGACCCCAAACCCCTCTGCTGAAGCGGCTCACAACCGAGGCGATTACATTTCACAAAATCACATTTGCAGAAGCGGATTCAGACACTCTTTCATAGAGTAGGCTAGCCTATTTACAGAAGAGGTTCATTTTTATTTTTAGTTCTAAAATCCTATTCCCTAAAACACCTGTAGATCTAGGCCTAGTTTCAGATCCAATGGGAAAAGTTATTTCTCTTGTTGTTAGACTGCTGACTTCACCTTCAGACATCAGTTATACACACAATATAGCCTACTATACTCAACAACAAAAGAAACGCAAGTGAATACAAAATAAAGTAGATAAGGACATTGGTAAGTAATTTGTGATTTTATAGATTTTTGGGGTCACATTTATTGAAGAGGATTTCTCTGTAAGGCGTAACAGTCCCGTTGGAGAGAAAACAAGTTGAATTTTCTGTGAAAAAACGAAAATGGTGTACCGGAGTTAAAGGGTGTGTCCATAAGTCGGTGATGTCAACTTTGGATCAATAGCGTGTGTGAGCAGCATATGCGTTCACAACAGCTTGGCATCTGTTTGGCATTGATCTCACAAGTCTGTGAATTATGGCCATGTTCACATTAATTTGCACCAATTTGTGTGATGACTCGCTGCTGCTGAGATGATGTTGTTGGTCTTGACTGAAAACGACTCAGCTCTCTTTTGATGTAGTCCCAGTAGTGTTCCATCGGGTTGAGGACTGGGCTCATTGAGGGCCATGGCAGCACCCTTTCTGCTGTAAATAAGAAGGCTGCTAGTGTAGCTCTTGCAGTACGAGGTCGGGTATTGTCCTGCTGCAGGATAAAGTTCGGGTGTTGCTGGAAATGAGGTATGATCACAGGCGCCAGTACCTGTTGGACGTAACGCTGTTCATTAACACCGTTACCTTGACCAGGTCCAATGTTCTGGAAAACAACGGTCCCAAGTGTTGGTTTAGGCGGATATATTGCACCCCAGAGCATTATGCTTAGACCACCCCATGCATGGACCTGCAGGACGTTGTTGTTTATGAGCAAACCGTTGGTTGGTTCTTCTCCATACCCGAATTCTTCCATCTCCTTGACTGGGGCAAAAACAGCTTTCGTCAGTGAATAAGACATTTCTCCACTATCGCCAGGTTCACATGTTGCTGAGCCCAAGCCAAACGTTGCTGCCGATGTCTTGCAGAGAGGACTGCACGTCTCAAAGGTGGACGACATTGCAGTTGTCCTTCTTGAAGCCGGCAGCGCATAGTCTGACCTGAAATGGCTCTTCCAGCCCCGTGGTTTCCAACGAGATTTCGGGCTGATTCGATAGCACACATGAAGCTGTCTCGCAGATGATTTCGTAGAAGGGCACGGTCTTGGCGTACTGACGTCACACGTCGTCGGCCAGTTCTGTGAGCATCACGAGTACTTTCAGTAACTTGAAAACGTCTTCGGAGTCGACATATTGTTGAGGGGGACACACCCATAGAAATAGGCACATCTGTTGGACTCTCTCCCGCCTGCAATCTGCCGATAGCCCTTTCTAGGTTCGCTTCGTTGAGTCGTGGCATGGTCACTGGCTCAAAAACACTCAGCTGAAAAAAAGCGTTACGTCCTGTCAATTTAAACCCCTCGGTCTGGTGAACTTTTCAGAGGATAAAAAGTGCTCTCCAACTGGGATGCTCAAGAAAATACTCAGTTTGCATTTTTTC